GTTCATAACCAATACATTTTGCTTTACTCGTCTCGTGTAAATAAAAAGAATAAAACTACGTTACAGTTGCGAATAAAAATGCGAAGTACGAAATTAATCGTATTTGAGATTTGACAAATTGCTTTGTACTCTCGAAGTTTTTGAGATTCGAACGTTCGAACGGCTATGCGAAAGATACATAAAATATTCCAAACGGAAGCTCCGTCTAATATAAAACCATTAAATTCTTACACGGCGAACATGAAACAAACATGACAGATATAACGAAGAAAATAAACGTAACGGCATAAATATAACAGAGCATCGTATAAAAATTTGGTACGTTCATTTTAAATTAAAAATGAAAATCAACTTCCTTCGTCTGGTAGATATTACCATGGACTAAAAGTAGGACAGACCGGACATCCAATGCTTTTTCATGTCCCACGTTTCGGTACTCGGCTGATCCCTTACTTTCAAAAACGACGAAATAGAAACGACTCGAAACGCGCGTTAACGCTTTTCTCATAATTTAAAATTTTTAATTTCGATACACCGACAATACAACGTACGAGAAGATTCATTAACAAATTCGTAAAACTCTAACGCACGCACGAATACACGGAAACGGAACGGTTTCGGATATTAGTTTCGCGTTTCGGAATCCGCAGATACACGATTTAACAACGCTGCAACGAATTTCATCTTACTCGATCAACTTGCATCGCTTTACTCGATATTCGCCAATTGTTCGAGCACAGGACGCGCTAAAAATTTAACGACCCTCTTCCCGGTCGGTATTTCAGGCTCCGAGACACAAAGTCCCATTTAGTATCTAATCTACGTCGTCTTTGATCAGTGGTAATACGATCTTGCAATCAGCGAGAAACGTCAAAAACGTTGGAGTACGCAGATATCGTGGAACAGGAGACAGGTTGGACAGACGCGACCAAACGTGTTTAAACGTTTACAAGCGTATTGGAAATACTCGGGCGGACGATGCGAACAAACGTAACGACAAGAAATTTTAGGACGCGATAAAAATTTTACTCGTCATCCTTCCAACTAAAAACAAACGAGAAATATCGTTCGGAACATTCGCAGCGAATATTTTTTTACCATGGCCAACAGTCTAGCAAAAGTCTTTGCCACCGAAGATTTCAATCCCGAAAAGTGTAGGTAGACGTTTACGACCAAGCAAGAACGTAAAGTTTGGACTTTAAAGTAGCAGTATTTCGAAGAAGCGTGATACATTTGTTTCTCCTACAGTTGTGAAAGAACTCAGCGCACAATGTGTCGGAGCAGACGAATTGAGACAACAGAGAGCGAAAATTCAAGAGTTGGCAAACAATACCTCCGCGCAATTGAAGCGTAACGTTTATCAGAATTATACGCAGTTCATAGAAACTGCCAAGGAAATTTCACACTTGGAAAGCGAAATGTATCAATTATCTCAACTGCTCGGCGAGCAACGTTCGTTATTGAGTACATTAGGATCTACCAGGACTACCGGCGTTACTTTCGGAGACTCGTCCGAATCACAGGTAGAAGATGTTAACGACTCCACTGCCAAAGAAGAGGAACAGAAACAGAAGTTGGTGCAATTACTAGAGAACGTGGAAGGAGCTGTGGTAAGTTGCAAACTATCGCGTTTCTAGAGCGACGAGTCGACGACGACGACGGTCTTCCGATTTCATTTGACAGAGCTTGGCAGAAACGTCCGGCCGTGTATGTTTGCACGAAGGTTCGCTGCTGGAGTTAGATCCTTTGGAAGGGACGCCGTTGAAAAGAGTTCACGCGTATTTATTCAACGATATCTTAATGATTGCTTCTTGGTTGGCAAACGGTAATAGGAGAGGACCACCGAGATACAAGATGCAAGCTGCGTACAACCTCGAAAGTTTGGCCATCGTCAACGTTAGAGATCTAGGAACGGTAAAGTTGGCATTCAAACTTCTGGCATTCTCCGATACAAGAGTATTTCAGTGCGCAACCGCAACGAGCAAAGTCAGTGTACAACGAAACGAGTATTTATGAAAACGGCAAGACCAAGTTTTAAATTATTATTCGTTATCTTTGCAGAAAGAATGGTTAGACAAATGCGAGCAAGCAAAGAGAACGAAGTTGATCGAGGATAATCCGAACGAAGCGACAGACAATGACAAACGGTCGAAGGAGGAGAAAGCAACACCTTCCAGGTCGATGTCGCTCGATTCCAATACCCTCGGTACGTTTAACGGTTTGGCGAAATTTGTATAATTATACGAACTTGAATCAGATCAAGCCGAATTAAATTTTTCAGTTACTCTTTCGTAGGTGTAGACGACGAAGATACGGAATATCACGAACCACCGCCGGAGTGGATGCTAGAAGTGGCGGAGGATCTAGATTCTTGCATAGCGCAACGTCACTTCGAGGAAGCCTATGGTCTTTCGGAGAAAGCGAAAGCCTATTTAAAAGATGCGCAACCGACGCCGCTTCTGCTTGAAATCCAAGTGAAAGTAAACGACAGAGGGAGATCGTTAGTCGACGTTTTAACGAAGGAACTCGAATCAAGCGCGGAAGCGAAATCGTTGCAAGGCGGAGGTTTGAGAAGCGCGCGACGCGCGGTAAAACTATTGATACAATTGAACAGAAGCGCTCAAGCTTGTCAGCTGTATTTGCGGCTATGCGGTGCTGTGCTAAAGGCACGTTTGAAACGAGTAAAAAGAGAAGGAGCTACCGCACCTTACGCGAAGCAACTCGGCGCGATCGCTTTCAGCAATATCGTCGAGATCACGAAAGAATTCTTAAAAATTTTTCCACGATCGACGAATTGTACGTCCGGTGAGTTGAAAATATTACGAATCGACAATATCGTGCAAAATCAACGTCGTTTCTTCTTTTTATTTTTCTCATTTTATACACGGAAAACGTAGGTCTCGTTGTTTGGTGTAGCCAAGAAATAAAACACTTGACAACACATTTAACCAAACAGCTTTTTATTCCACAAGTGTCTTTAAACACATTGGTAGAATGTATAGTTTGCGTTCGGAGTCATTGCGATCAGGTACGTTAATCCTCAGAGTTGCGATACAGTTTATCGCTATTTACTATTCTAATATGAAAAAAAAAAAATATAAAACACTTTGTGGCTTTCAATTTACAGTTGACTCAGTTAGGAATGGATTTTCGTTATCAATTGGACGGTCAACTCAGATCCCCGTTAGCGAAAGCTATACAAGATACGGGCGAGAGATACATCGAGATCGTGAAGAAGCACATAGCCGAAGACACGTGGCGGCCGACAAATTTAGAAACTCGCAAAAACATTCAAAAACTACTGTCAGAATTCGAGGTCCTGGGAATAACCGTTCCATCGTTTTATCTAACAAACGATCGTTGGATAGCATTGACCGATAACACTTTAACTTTTTCGAGACTTTACGTAAGTCTGTTGGAAGATTGTCTCAGCGTCGCCACACCAGAGTTAATGGCCGTGATAGACACGGTTTTGGTATCGGTGATGCGAACTCAAGTACAATACATAATTGCGTCGCTTACGAATCCGAAATTAAAACTGGAGGTAATTAGAGTTTTCTTCTTTTTTTCTGTATATTATATATATATATATTTTTTTTTCTACACATACATATACATATATAGAACATCTTGTCTCTTCGTCACGACTCTCAACGTTCGAATAAATACTTGTTTCTCTTTAATTCGTATCTTTAGAAACAATTGGTGCACGATAATGCTTCGTACATTCGAGATGTTGTGATCATGCGAGGACTAGAGTTATACGAATCAACGACGAATCAAATCTTTAAGAAACTGTTGGCTCTAAAGGAACAAATCGCGTTCGATTCATCGTCTCCGACCAAACCAAAATCTGCTTCTAAAACCGCGATACCAAAATATTCTGCCACGGAATATATTTAACAACAAAGTAAAGTCGCGAGTGTACGCGTAGAAGCGTGGAAAACAATTTACAAAGAAAACAATAGAACGTTTCACGGTACAAGCGCCGTGTCTGTATTACATCGTACATACAAGTTAATTTGAATTTCTTTTAGCAATTACACATATCGGGTTTTAACATTTTTCCCTGTTTCCATCGCAGCAGGTACGTAAAACAACACTCGTTATACAGAGAGAAAAAGTAAGAATACGTGCGTTACAATCGAGAAAGTGCGAATAGTTTTGCATCGAAATATATGATTTCCTGTTACAATTGATATGAAATATTTACAGGTCAAAAATTAAACGAATATTAAATATTATACAGTTCTATTTGGACATTTGTCTATATGTTCCGACTCCTTGATAGTTTGCAACTTCCTTTTCTTAGCTCGTATGTCTGCCAATGTCTGCTCTATACTTCGTTGATCCTTCTTATTTTCACTAGGGACTGAAACGACCGTTCCAATGAGAAAACATGCTTAACCGAGGTGGAGAGGTACGGTTGTTTACTTACCACAGCCGTAACTACTATTAGCTTCCGTCTTTCTCGCTGCGGCCAGCGCAGCTTCTTTCCCGATTAAATGTTGATACTTGTCCTTGTAACAGCTATTCGGTACAAAATTGTCTTTCCGTTTTCTAGGTTTGGCAGCAGCTTCTCGCTCTTCTTTGGCTCGTCTTTCTCTCTCCTCTATCAATCTTCTCGCTATTTCTTCGTTCCATTCCTCTCCTCTACGCAATGCGTTCAACTGATCTTCGGACGGAGCATACTCTCTCTTGAAAACGACAATGTGACGGTTAACGCTTTCTTCGCCAAACGAATACGCCCATACGTTTGCCACTTCGGCAACATCGTGTCTACAAAGAAGCAAAAGACATCGAGGTATTACCTCGTCAACAATCGCGCACACGTATATACATGTTATGACAATTGTTTCATCGTATACATTATACTCCTGTGAATTTGATCCATCGGAGGAAATTTATATTCCTTCGCATCGTCATCTCGAAGAAATTTGTTAATTTTCCCTTCTACCTGGATCGACGAAGAAAGAAAAAAACATTGCAACGTTCGAGCGATAACCTTATTTCAGAAAAAGGACAAAAAAAGTGGAAAATTCAAACCTTCTCTCGGAAAAGTTTCAACCTTTCGGCTTCTGCTTTTCGATGCTTCTGACACTCCTCTTTTTGCTCTGTGTGGTAAAAATAATTTTATCAATGTCAATAAATCGCACAGACATCTACGAGATAGGTTAACTTTCAACCAACTTTTCATCAATGCCTTTTGCTCGTCACTGATCGTAGGAGGCTTGTCCATCGAACTTAAGATAGATCCTAGCAAATCCATGATCTCACTCGTGATAAAATCGACGAATTCGAACGGACAAGACGAAATATTTCTCGGGACGTACACTTTCTGGCTATTCTCACGTTCGATATCGTCAAGAACACGATACAGCGACGCATCGCAGATCCACGGATATTTCAACCATCGAGCAAGGACAGAGTAGACATACCCGACGTATAAAACGTACAA